CCTGGTTGTTTCAAATATAGACAAACAAAACCAATACTCTAAAAATGGTTTTCAAAATAAGGCATTTGACTAAATTGCGGGTTATATTTTGAATGTAATTTGCAGCATTACATTTTGATTTATGTACATTGCTGTGTGTTTGTCAGTCTGTCTGTCTGTGTTAGTTATGGGCAGAAACTGGTAACAAAAATCTGATTAATGGAAAAATCTTGCAGTTCATAAAAAGAAAGTAATATAAAGTTTACTGCGCCGGTAACAAAACATCTTTACTGTAGTGACTAATATGTGAAAACCGTATGTATGCCAAATTTATAAGTTCAGGTTATGAATTGTCATGGTGCTCAAAAACATAATGATGCATTAATAACTGAAAATATCTTTATAAAACCTTGAAATATATATTTAAAAGCTGTTATGATAAATAATGATTATGTGTACATTTGTGTAATTAAAAACTGGCTTATAGGATTAAACCAGGTTTTTAACAGTGTATTTTTATTTTTTTATGTATGTTTCGATGTGATTTTTGCATGACAAGCTGTCATAATTTGGACATTATTTTGTACCAGCATCTTTCAACTATGATTTGAACACTGTTTAAATGGACCTTTATATATCTTCAATGTAAATACCCACTGCATATGAAGTATTAAATGCAGATCCTTCATATTTATAGCAAATCTGACATTTATACAAAAAAAAAAAAAAGAAGTGATTAATTGAGCAGTGTACAGAGTGTCAATGGCTAGGTATTCATCGGAACGTGCTTTCAAAGAATAAAGAAAGAAAGAGAGTGAAAATTCCAAATCCTAAATAGGTGCAATTCCATCAATTTGTTGCAGCAGCTGACTGTAGTATTGGTAACCCAGAAACCAACAATAAAAAGGCAAATATAAAGAAGTTACGTTCGTTAAATCAGTTTTTATTTGGCAATAGCTTTTCCACCTCTCATTGCTCGCATAAACCCTTTTTGCAGTCCATAACCATCTTAAACAAGAAAAAAAATATTATACATACACACACATATACACATATATATATATATATATATATATATATATATATATATATATATATATATATATATATATATATATATATATATATATATATATATATATATATATATATATATATATATATATATATATATATATATATATATATATATATATATATATATATATATATATATATAATTAATTATTATTATTCATGTATATTATTATTATTACTCAGAACAAGAACAACTGCATTATGTTGAGGTGAATCTGAAAGTGGCATTGTGTATTTTGTGCACAGTACGTACTGTTGGCTCCATTCTCCGGCTCGCGGTAGGCAAACTTCAGCGTGGTATCAAGTGTCCTGAATCCTTCCCGCAGAGAGTGAATCTTGTAATACTGGATGAGGTCCTGCATTAA